TCTGTCAATTTTAACAAGAAATACAGGGCATTTGAATATATTGTATACCTAATTTTATTTTATGTTATTTCTTAACATAACATTAGGTATAGACTTTGAGTTACATAGTACGATTCATAGCAATAGTTACCATTGAATGACCTACTTTGGGAGACGTTCATTTTAATGATAGTCACAAGATTCGTGTAAAATCTAAAGACATCAATAATCATGATTCAAACGCATTTCCTTTTTCAGTTAAAGTAGGTGGTTTCATTCTCTCGGTGCAGTGTAGAAAGCCGAGAATCATCAACAATCGTGGGACTATTTACTGGTAATCCATAATGAATCAAGACGTTTCGAATCATAATCAGCAATGATTATTGCGATGGTTTTATTTTGATAGTCATAAAACCTAAAAAGTGGATTCATTATTATTTTACTCTAGTGATGATGCATTCAAATTTTGTCATCGTTAAAGTATGAATTCAGTCAGTTTATTATTATGTGTGAGACTATAAAGTAACCGTAGGATAAGGTTTATAACTACGAAAGATGTTAAGTAAACTGGTCACTAGTTGAAATTTTAATTTATAAGAAATTACATTTTTTTTTATTTCATCGCGCGTTTAACTGTTTTGTAATAAGGCGGACTTACTTTATAAGTTTTACGGTGACATTACATACTCGTACCTACATTTGATAAAGATAGATATTGAGCGGAGTAATTAATTAATGTATGTTTTATTTCGATACAACAAACAATCTACCTAATAGTAAAATAGTACGAATCTCAAGTTTTAGTTACCAAAATTGCATCCCACGTTAAAGAATGAAATAAATAAAACAGCAGCATTAAAAAGAAGAACGACCCATTAATCCCGATCCCCCTTCCCCCCACTTGTATAGTTCCAGCTATTGAAAAAGAGCAGGACTTTTTTCACCTATAAACCTCGTGAAGAATTTAAGCTCGTAAAATAAAGGGGGCGATACCTGCGGGTGTTTAGGCAATGGGATAATGTACAATGATTCGTAGAGAATGCTGGAAGAGATTTAAAAAAATCATTTTCAGAAACATTACGATCTTGCTCGGCCATTGAAGGCAAGGGTGAAAAGGGATCTAATGAGTAGGTAGTCAATAAGTTTGGTTATTAAATTTAGCTTCACTCAAAATATTGTTAGACAAATCACCCAATGTTTAGAATGCCAAGTCATAATTATTTACTTTTTACTTTCACTGACATTTTTTATTCACATGTGCGTTATTTTTTTGTTTTTATGTTCATTTCATAATAAGTTAGCAAATTGTTAGGTACACGCAATTTTTTTAAACTACTCGTAGTTCGGTCATGTGCGTGCCTACCTACTTGATCAGTAAATATTTTTTAATTGTATCTTAGGCTGTTAAACAAAGGTTTATTTTAACATTAAACTATGTAACTTGCACATTTCCTTCAGGAAATAGTTTCCTGCATAATATTACTACTATTTTTTTACTACACAATTTATTCCATTTTAATACATACTTTAAAGTTGTAGCCCCATCCAGCATCTCTACACAGGGTGCACCGAGTTTTATTGGCGGGCGTCTGATATATAGGGTGTACCCCCGTAAATCTGTTGCGGCGAAATAAATAATTTAAAACTAATAAAACGCACGCGCATCCCCCTCCCCCTTCCCCCTAACGATTTGCTTGCAAGAACGTCATTACTGGTTTATAGCTATTCGGGGGTCGGAAATATTTTTATGCACCTGATTTGCTGATTGATTCTTTACTTTATTGAAAGGTAATAAATAACGTTGCTTCATAACATGACCCGTTTTAAAAGAACGCAAGTGTAAAGTTCAATAAATTCAGAGTCTAGAATGAAAACAAGTTCTTCTTAAAATAAATATTGAGCTTTCATAATTGTCAGATCTGCATAATTAATAATTAAAATACTTCCAAAAAACATCCTTTTTTTTAAGTCGGTTAAGAACCGGAGTGCAACACGGATTTTGGAAAGCCTGTATTCAGCAGTGGACATGTGCTGTCACCATAACACAAACTCGGTCTAAGATATTATTATTAACAAAAGAAAAATGATTGAATAACAATTAAACTACATTCATAATACTGTATGGTTACTCAACGCTTACATAAGTAATTTAAGTGCATTATTGTGACCAGCAGCTCTATGATTCTGACAACGAAAATTGTACTTTAACATAAAAATAATAAAGCTCAAAACAGATGTTAGTGATCGAGATCAGAAAATGCATTACGCACCGCGGAAACGCGTGGCTTTCTTTACGTTCGTGGTATTTAGAATGTTATATGTGTCACTATTTCTTATAATAGAGACGCATACAGAAGGTTCATTATGCCCCATCTTAAGGTTTCTTACAGTAACTGTTAAATATTATCTACCTAATATTAATTTATTAAATTGAATTATTTTTTAGAACTCACAAAATGGGATTAAAAGGTAATCCTTTTAATGAATGAGATATTCTAGATGTTTTATTAGATTGGCTCAAGTTAGGTAAAAAAGGAATGTATGAAAAAAAAATCCCTAGCTGAAGCTCGAGCATGGATAAGATATAGATAAATAATTCACACACAAAACAAGAAAACTTTGAGTCACAATCACAATCGACATTTTATCGAATCTTTCCAGTAGAAGGTTACTGTGTCCACCTCCACTGTGCCGCATAAATCAAGGGTGGGAATTCATCGATGTTGACAGGTTGTATTTTAAACCAGTGATTCATGGACCAAATATTTTGTAGTTGATATGAATGCATTCGTATTTATTATGAGTACTCACTCATGTGTACCTACCTACTATCCATGAAGATACTAACGACAGAAAAGAAATGTCTTATGTCAAGCACTTAAAAATACTATTTTCGATAATTTACGAAACACTTCACTAAAGATAATTGCAGTTGTAATAGGAAATCCACCGCATCCTTTCCCGGTGAAAGAACGCGTCAACAAGAATGTTTAGTACCGATCTAGATGCTCGGAGACTAAAAGTATGTAAGTAAGATACTAGTCGTTTCCGTTCTATCTGAAAGTTGGACACTTTTTTGCTGTTAACTACGTGTTATTAGTAGGCCAGTGGTACTCAATCTGTTTTAAGCTAAGGTCTTCTTTGTTTATACATACATATATTTAATCACAGAGTGACTTAGTGAGTAAACAAAACATAATATCGAAAAGGTATAGCAATGAATACGAAAGGGAAAGATAATTATCGAAAATCCTATTATTAACTAGCTGACCCGGCGACTCTGTTCCGCCTTAGGCATACTCTGATTGATTGCACACCGTTGATTTTTCGTCGGCCGATAGTTTAGTCGGGCAGTTGATCAGTATGGGCATGTATGGGAGTGCGCACACTACGCCGATTCAATTTGGCCGATTCTTCATACAATTTAAAATCGGGCACAACTATCGGCCAACTAAAAATCAACGGTGTGCGCCTACTCTTAAAGGCAATAAATATGCCATTCGCAATTTTTCCTTATTTGCTCACCGTTTAGACCTACCCTACCCTACGACAAACATTTTAAAACCAAAATCAGCTCAATCGGTCCAGATGTTCTCGAGTTTTAATCAGACTGACGAACAGCAATAATTCATTATTATTTATATAGATAGATTAATAGAGTCTAAGTTTTGGGCGCCATCGCGTGGTATAGAAATGTAGAGGTACAAACTAGAGACCATACATGAGATGACCCAAATGTGGAAATACTAACGCTCAAGTTAGTTATTAAGGTTAATCCTGAATAAGAGTCAAAGTCCGAAATTGAACAATACTACAAATTGTGATCCAATTCCAAAGACCTTCACCGATAAAAAATAAATAGAGTCATCATCATCATCTTCCAAAACAATGTCCAAAACCAAGGTGTTTCCAACAACACATCGTTATATTAGCTCTAATAAAATATCATAACAGAACACAATGGGTATAATTTTCTTAGTACCACGACAGGCCGAGTTAGCCTGACCATTACGTGTGGTGAAACCGCCGCCAACAGCCTGTAACCAGGTGGACCCATTGTTTTATCTGACATCAAATTGTCAACCCCCCCGTGCGGTTTGGGGTTCAGCTGGAGCCTGGTGAAACCATTTTAGTTTATCTACTCCCCAGTTAGGGCAGATGCAGTTATCGTTCGTTCGTTCATTCGTTTCAGCCGAATGACGTCCACTGCTGGACAAAGGCCTCCCCCAAGGTTTTCCACAATGAACGGTCCTGCGCTGCCTGCATCCAGGTTCTTCCCGCGACCTTTACCAGATCGTCGGTCCACCTAGTAGGAGGCCTGCCCACGCTACGTCTTCCAGCCCGTGGTCGCCACTCGAGATCTTTTCTGCCCCAACGGCCATCGTCTCTACCAGCAGTTATGTTATACCTACTGCAAATGACTGACTAACGTCCGGCCTAAAACGTCTTATTTAAAGGGAAATCTTCACGCGTGTCTGTTTAGTGCCATTAGAACTTTTGATTTTGAATAATGCGTTCATTCTTTTGAATGCGGTCAGACAATGACCGATTTTTTCCCTAGGTCTAGATGTCTCAAAATCAAAAATGTTTTTCACAGTTATCCTACCTATATGTAATTAACTTTTAACTACATTTTAAGTCCGGTTTCTCTGTTAAAAGATATCTAACTTTCTTTACCTTTTTACCTTCAATACTATGGCTAAGATATAGCATTTGCAACAAGAACACTTATTTCTCTTCATCAATAATGACTATTCAGTACCTACAAAATATATGTTTATTCTGGTACCCTTAACAAATCACCTATTATATCCAGTCGAGTTACATTTACGACTGCGTTCATGTCCTTGAAAAATGGATTGAAAAAAAAATTTCAGCTACGGAACCCTTCGCCATGCCTGCCTTCTCATTCTTAACCACTTTTATTTTTTATAAGCCATGCTCTACCCAATAATCCACCAATGTTTGTTGTGCATTCGTGTTGCGTGTGTGATTTGTGCATCTGAAGTTATGTGGTTCGAAATGCCTAAACGGTTTCTGATGCTGATAGTTCTGGCGTTGGTACATACAGGAACGTGTACCGGGATCAGCAACACGCAATTCAATGCAAGTTTACGGGATTATGCTGTGACTGAGGTCACTGAGGATACCGTACGTATTTTTTTTATTTCGACAACGTTAGCTCAGCTGTTTAGCCATAGGACTGCTAATTTGAAAGTTCGATCTCTGTCGATGGCAGTGGCTAATGCCGGTGAAAAGAAATAAAAGGAAGTACTGAAAATAGAAAATGAAAATAATTTATGTCTAATAAATTAGTTCATTAGTTATGCCACACAGTTAACATCATAGCTTCGAGTACAACTACTTATATTATTATTATGTAGTTTCATCGCTTCAATGTTTGCAGAGATCTTTTGTAAAACGAAAATGAGTTAATTAATTGTTTTGAGTATAATCATGTACGTACGAGTATGTAGTGTGTGACCTCATTCATTATACTTTAAAAAGTGATGAGATAGCTTGCTAATCGACACCAATAGAATCACACAATGTGTTACACAAATAAGACCAATGTCAATATTGAGACATTTTTGATCGATTGTAACAACATGCCTAATTTGAATGTGTATTTTTTCTGTTGACGCATTAGTTTAGAAAATTATGTTAAATTCAGTTTTGTTGAAAAAATGTAAAACAGGTAGCGTAAGAACATACACGAATTTATTATGAGAGATAAATTTGCCACCACACTACCTATATCATATTGAAATCATTTTTTCGCATAGTTCTGCACTGAATAAGTTAAGAGTGTAATTTCCATTTCCATTGTTGGTTTTCAGAATTCCTCGGATGTGAAAACTTTGCAGAAAGAGTTGTATGAAAGATACGCTCACTTAGCGCCGGTCAGCAACACAGTGCGGTTTAAGGTGCGTATAATAAAATTTATTTCTATCTGCATGTACAAGAAGACGACACATAAAGTGTTTTATGTGATTTTGCAAGAAGAAAAAAGGAAAATTAATGAAAAACATTTTCATATAAATGTTGCCAAGACGAAACCTTATGGCTCGCACTGTCTTTAACTCTTCACACTCGAATTTCTATTCAACAAGCCCTAATTTCACAAACTAACACCTTAGGACCAGTTTTGTGATGCGCACTGTAGTCAAATCAACAATTTTTAACCGACTTCAAAAAAGGAGGAGGTTATATGTTCGACTGTATGTATCTTTTTTTTTATGGCAAATGGTTAATACTGTCAGCTTGAATTTTAGTACAGTCTCCAAATATAACTTAAATTTTGTTAATATTAACCGTTTAAAAAAATGTAAAACTGGCCCTTAATCATAGTTTTTTCTAACACTTACACGAGCATTACAACAATACCCCCTAACTATAAATACTGCACCGTATCGCATCGCGCAGAGCTGATAGCACAATAAAATTGTTTTATTTTATTATTGTATCGGCTACCGGTTACTCATGTCCGCTCGCTATCAATATGGGCCATGGGGCATGTTCGAAGACTTGTTCAGACGAGTCGGGAATGTCGCAATTTAAAAATATTATCCTCACAACGACTGCTTGTAGTTAGTTTTCTTGTGGACATGTTCCACTTTGAGCACCGATTCAATAGCACCTGCACGAATAGCACCTGCCCTAGTACTTTTGGGGTGAAATTAATAACCTAACAAAATTAGCAGCCAGCACTAGACTGCTGTGTTGTATGTGCGATAAGTGGAATACATCGTAAAAATATTTTTTTATGCAGAACAAGGCAGCTATTTGACCGCAATCGTACCTGGTGTTAAGTAAGATGCAGTCTAGAATGGTACATAACTGCCCTGTAAATGTAAATAGGCCAGGTGCTATTCGTGCAGGTGCTATTTGGGCGGGTGCTTAAAGTGGAATACGTCTTCTTGTGGACTGTAACTATTATGCCGCCATAGATTGACTCAGACAGGCCAACTGGACCAACTGGTATAACGTGCCTTCTGGAAGTTGACTCAAGCCTACAATAATGAAACAAAAATAAATAAAAAAGAAAAGAAATATCCGAAGCTATTTAAACCTCTTTAGTGCCATAGATGCCCAGAAGTTAATCTGAACAGAAAGTTGAACTCTCTAACGACTAAAATTTCAGATGATGGCTTACGACATTGAAGGAGATAGGTATTAAATATAAATATAAATATAAATATCCTTGGACATTTACACTGCGCTTCTAGTCCCAAACTAAGCAAAGCTTGTACTATGGGTACTAGACAACGGATATAAACATACTTAAATAGTTTTTTTTTTGTAAATACATACTTATTATACATAGAAAACACCCAGTCCAATACAAACAAATATGTTCATGCACACAAATGTTGGTACTGTGCGGGAATCGAACCCGCTACCTCCGGAATAGTAGTCCGTTTCGAACCACTACACCAAACGGCCGACATATTACATTATATTACTTAGTAACTATGAGCCTAGGAAATAACAGAAATAGATGCAGGAATTAAAAAAAATAAAAGTACTTGTTCTTTGTATGTAGGATTAGCTAGCTGAATTCTGATTCTGATTCTGAATTTGGTAGATTGGTTAACGTAATTTTATTAACTGACGCGATGTAACAGGGATGGAGATCAGTCACCTGAGAATGCCACCTGCCGTGTGGATCTGCGGATGCATGTAAATCATGTAATGATTAAACCCTTGGTGCTTTGGCTGCAATTGAAGCAAAAGCTAAAGGAATAACCGCATAAAGGGTATTTTTTTTCTAGAATCCAGAACGAGAAAACCCGAATATCAGAAAATGCTTCATGGAAGTTTAAAATGTGAGGAATGTCATGACATAAAATTAAATTGATAACTTGATGAATCAAGCATAATTGTATGCTGTATTTCCTGAACAGTAAACCGGGCGTTTTCAAGGCGAGAGTGAATAGGCAATTACAGGGCAGATATGTACCATCCTAGACTGCATCTCACTTAACACCAGGTGCAATTGCGGTCAAATACCTGCCTTGTCTAGCATAAAAAAAATGTAGTAGAACATTATAATGGAACAATACAAATTAAGAAAATAAGACAGTGTGTTTGAACAATTAAAAAAATTGATAGAGGAATAAAATAAATGATTACACGAGAATCAGTAATGTGATTCATTCATCGCACAATGGGAAATGATCCTAAAAATACCTAACAAACAAGTACTAAATTGCCAACAATGTTATTCATGTAATCTTACTTACACAATCTCATTAATGTTAATGAGCTGACCCCGCAGTTAATCAGAAACTCAGAATAGATACTAGCTACCAGGACCCTCTACTAATTCCCTCTGAGTTAGTTCTAACACTTTGTTTTAACTGCCTCTATGGTTTAGTGGTTAGACCTGCTTCAGACGCAGAGGTCCCGGGTTCGATTCCCAGTGGGGGCAGAATTTTCTGTTCGGTTTGGTTGGTGGTAGGGCTTGTTCCAAGTCCGCCTGGCCACCTTCTTACCTAAGTCTGTCGCCATAACAACAATGTTAACATTTCCGGCCAGGCAGTGAGAGGTGAGATAGCCAGTTCCTCCGTGGTTGAGGATTCCGGGTGAAGCTCGCTTCCACCTTCGGCCTGATCATCACTTACCATCAGGTGAGATACAGGCCAAGAGCTTCCTCGTATGGATAAAAAAAAACATTTCAACAGCTATTTCAATAAAGTGGAGTCTTAAATTCTGATACCAAACGATTATTACGTCCTACATGAGTATTCATACCAGCTATACTTCATTGTAGTGTATGGAACTGAACCAGTCAAGCATTAGAAACCTATTTCAATGCATCAATTAGCAGTAAAAATACTTACTAAGAGCCGATTTCACCAATAAAAGAGTTAACTAACATATTGTCAGAGCTGTTATTGTCACAAAAACGGTTTTTTTGCTGTCACAAGACAAAATAATTGAGTAAATTAACGATAAAAAGATGTGTATTTCGTCAAAACAGGTGGGTAACGCTCTTTTCATAGGTTTGTTTTGAATATTTACGCAAATGATCCGTTATCATGACAATTACAATTCTGAAACTAACAGTTAAACTCTAAATGAAATCCGCTCTAAATGACACTTTTAAGTATAGGTTTAAGACACCTGCTAGCAAAACAATGTGGCTGAATAGTTAGTATTTAACTCATACATTAAAAATGTCGGCAAGTTGTTACAATGCATGTATACGTTTAGCCGACAGATAGCATCAATTCCAAATTCCCATCATTCTTCGTTAACAACCGTCATTATTCTAACACTCGGGAAAATAATTTGCTATTACAACTAGAGCACCGACACTTAAACCAATTTCAATCTTATCTTTTACACAATAAAGACTTGAGTATAATCAACGTTACTACAAAATGTTACCTCTATTCCTACCTTGATAGTGCAATTTTGAACTCTATGTAGCAGGTAATAAGAACGGTGCGCACGCGCATCTCACGAAGCCACTTTCCGAATGCCTAAGAATCTTTCCCGTGACGACCTCGACCTTACTCAGATATAACTGATACCAGTTCGCGGTAACTGAATGAGTCTCCCTTCCCAATAATATGGGTATCATTGGAAAATATTGTGTTTTGACTCATGTAGGTATTTAATGAAAGCAATAAGGAAAATTGAGGGATTTATACTTATCAATGAACTAACATTTAACTATAATACGAATATTATTTTCATACCATTGTTATTTGTTACAATAATCACTGGAAATCAGAAATGTAAAAAATTTGATAGTTTTATCCCAGTTTTTGAACCTGACCTGTCATATCATTTTGTTGATTGATACAACAAAAATACATACAGCCGAACATAGAACCTTCTCCTTTTTTGAAGTCGGCTGAAAACAAAAGCCAATGAGACCCTTTTCTTTCAAACAAATGACATACGCACTATGAAAGGTTAATGAAAATAGACATGATGCATATGCTAATGTCAGCTGATAAAGCTGTAAAACAATAATTGAAAGTGTCAACCGCTTATCTCTCTAACGTAATAAGACCTCTTTAAAAAAGAAAATTAAATTACGGCTTGATAGACACCCGGCTTCCTGAACCAGTATAATTGAACTCAATTATGCCTGTCGCTGCAGGTCAGTAAAGAAATTATAATTTCGACCTTCCTGCTTTGACTTAAGAAAGAAATTTTTCATGTCTGCACTACGCTCCGATGGTCAGGAGTTGGTCTGGGTTCACACGAACTCTTTGGAAAATGTTTTTAAATTGCTGGTGGGATTCGAACAGCGAATTTGTGGCCAGTGCGTAATTTAAAATTTGATTTGTAGCTACAATTGCGGGTGCACTACCTAATTAAAATAAGGATAATGTAAAAGAGTTTTAAAGTATTCACATTCAATTGGTTAGTTTTACAACGATAAGAAATGACGCAAGTTTTGCTAGAACTACAGTAGCTGCTGAAAATTAAAGTGATAACAAAAATGCTCTACTAACACTATACATTTTATTTATTTAACTTTGTTCTAGGAAGTACCAGATAGTGCTTTATCACCTAGTTCAGCACACGGTCGAGGACTGCTTCATCTAAACCATCATGGTAAATATTAACCATCTACAGTTTCTTACAATCTCCAAGACCATTGTCTTTTCCAAGTCATACCATAGTTGTACAATCTTTAGCTATAACTTTACTGACTGGTTTGTAATAGCATTAGCGTCTATATTTACCGTTTGTAATATCTCTACTCTACCATCAAAGACGATAATTTAACCATAATAGTTAATCGTTACACCACGCCTATGACATGAATATTAGAACCTACACGTTCACAAGACAATGTAAGGATGTAAATGAGTTTCCTAAGAACCTTGTATGTACTTACCTATCTAGATACATTTTGATACAAAGCAAGCACCGTATTCAAACAGTTTGTTAATCCTAACATTTAACGTATCAAAGTCATGTGTGATTTTTTAAATTATTTTCAGGGTATGGCCTTTTGGATCACGAAGAAACCCCTCATTATGGCTACGAGTATCACTTCCCAGATGATCACCACGGTCATTATGATGATCACCATGATCACCATGATCACCATGACCACTATGACGAGCATGATCACCATGGGCATGATCATTACGGTCATCACCACCTAGTCCATCATGACGATTATAAACATGGCTACGGACATCACTATAAACATTACGATCATGTAAGTAAACAAAAACGGCGAGTGTAGAAGGATCTAATACACATTTTGTATAAGACATCGCCGTGGGTAGATATCTTGATGGAAATATTTTGACATTTGCACTGCTAACTGGATTGAGAGCTAAAAGCTTTTATCTACAAGGGAAAGTCAATATTTTCTCTATGTTTCAGGTAGGTATAATACAAATGGATGCTTTCACTAAAAGCCTTTTAGGAAATTCTTGGCAAACAACATGGCTAACTGCTCTAAAGAATCTTTGAATATTTGCTTTACGTGCGTGTTTTCATGATTAGGATAAAGTTCTACTAGGTAACTATAATCTTAATCAGATTTCATAAGAATATCATTATCAAGTTTTGACAAATTACTCAATTTGATTCTAGGACACCCTTCACCAATCCCACGAAGGTTCAAGTATCATTTGTACAAAGACCTCGATGCAGGATATTATAAATTATGTCTGTCACACCTACTCGTCCGTGCTCATGTCTTGCCTAACAATCCCACGGTAGAACTAGGTACTAATATATTCAAGAAATCAGATAACCAGCCCTTCACTTTTTATAATTTCTCAAAATATAATTTGTTTAACATGGACCAACAATAAATTGATGAAGTTAGAATGTCTTTAAGTATTCATAAGTACCTATCCTAGATTCCTAGGCCTGAGAATATTAGTTTTTATATGATATTCTAGCTGTTATCATTATTATATTTACGATAGTACCTAAAATAGCAGCAGGTAATTAGTTAGTGTCTTCTACTGCGCTTTCTCATAAAATACGCAGGTCTAACCTGAAAACTCCGACGAATAACAACAACCTGTAATTCTTGATTGTGTAGGGCATTGCCCCGTAAGACCATATAAGTCTCAGGCAAATATTTTGTTTCAGGCTCTCGCCGCAAAAACAGTTCTGTGGCCCATAGCCGGTATCGCCTTATTGGGGGCTGCAGCTGCGTTAGTCAGCAACCCAGTTCTTCTCCAACTTGGAGTCGTATCAGGTCGAAGAAGAAGACGTGACACCGAAGAAACTAACATCAAGCAAGAGATATTCACCAAAAAGGGACTCGAAGATGAATTTATCATACACAATTTGAATCATTTCCATAAGAATAATGACAGTACATCCAATTCAAAAGTGAAAAATAATAGAGCGAGCAGCACTAAAAAAGGGATGTTATTGAATAAAGCCAAGAATAACCGCCATAGGTTATTGTTCAGAAATGTAAATCCAACTGGAAAAACTGCTATTCAAAAGGCTTTTAATCAAATGGAGAATAATAAAGATTCTATAGATAAACATTACATTCCTATACCGCTCATGATGAAAGACGATGACAGTAACTAGTATAAGTTAATTGAAATTACCTTCCTACCTACCTTGTTGTTAAGAATATGTTTAATACACTTGATACACTTTGATTAGTTTGATTAATTTTAAAAACTTACCCGAATCAAGAAAAAGAATTCCGAAAACACGCACAGAACACCAAAAACAGAACTCGCACAAGATCAATCACACATTACAAACTAGACAATTAGCACAATGTTAACAGCACTAAACACAACAATGACACAATTTAGAGACCGAACAATCAATATTAAACAGTTAAATATTGACAAAACAAATGCGGCACGTCAATTGTTTGGGCAAACGTCACTAAGATCATACGGGAGTGAAGTCAGCCGAGTAACTGAGAGCTCGATCAATGAAGTTGGTTGCTTAGGTTTAGCTGTGTGCGTGCGGACGGATGCCCAAGCGCAGGGGTGTGTTTAAAAACTTGCTCTTATTTTGCGCACGTGTGCGTGAAATGCCGGTATCGGTACCGTAATTCTGATCCTTGCTGCTTGGCGATAAAGTGTTTAGTAGAATGAACGCAGTGTTGATATTCACGCATATTTGTGCATTCTTGCATTAAAGTCCAATATCGATTATTTTTCTGCGCTTGAATTGTGTTTTAGTAAATTTTAAGCCATGTCACACATCAACATAGCTAATACAGCTACAAATTAATAGCAACTTGGTAGTTTTTTTAAAATTATTTTTGAACTAGTTCTCGTAAATGGTTTCTTCTTTGGCGTAATTATGAACTGTATTATTACCAGTGGATATTCAGTTCACCTGTTCAAACGGACGTGAAATCATTAAACGACAGATGGTTTGATGTGATGTTTTGAGAGTATCCAAAACAAAAGATAAGGGTTAACATCGTTGGCAAGTTTAATTACTAGCAAGGTGTCTGGTAAATTATGTACGGACGACTGCACATCAAGCTACTCATAAACGCTGATATTTTACTACAAAACTTGTCTTGATGTAGGTAACAAAGACCGTCCTTTTACTATTATTATGTTAAACTGCAAAATAATATAATATAGACTATCTACATATCGTCAGTTGCAGGTTCACTTGGGGTAACTGACAAAATACGGTTTTTGAGTTAAATATACAGTTTTTCTTAGTTTTTTCTGCTCTTTCGAATGGTATACGTAAAAAAATTCTAGCTTTAAAAAAATTACAATTACACGGACATTTTCAGGTGTGAACTTTTCAGATTTCCTTCAAAATTTTGGTGTAACTGACATTGTAATAATTTTACCAGGTTGAATTGGTGTATCTGTAATAATGTAAAAATTTTGCTACAAAACTTTGCAATTACACTGATTTGCTAAGGTTTATAACATGAAATAAAATAGGAATTTAGAAAGTTTTAAGGTATATTACATTATTATTATACCAGCAGTATCAGTTAAAGAAGTTAAAGTTAGCTCAACAAAAAAAATAATTGAAATTGAGCAACTATCCAGCCAACTAGGCGTCACTGCGCGTTGCTAACATTAACCTGTTGTTACTCTGTTACTTTTACTGTTGTAGTACTCATGACCTTAATTCAACATTGCTATAAAGAGGTGGGAAATTAAATCCATTTTGTTTTCAGTTTAAGTTGCCCTGTAGAGCTAAATACGGTATTGGTAAGTTAAGGTAAGTCAAAGCTTCAAAAAATATTAAAATTACTTAGTTTCACAGTAATACTTTAGTTATTTAAATATTTCTGTCTTAAAAAAATTAAATACACATATTTTCTTGATTCCCATGGCTTTTTTAACATTATTTAATGAATAAAATAAAAGTTACTTCTAATAAAATAAAATAAAAAACAAAGAAAACGACAAAATGTTATTTTTTTCATGAATTCTCTTATTTTTTAATACTTTTACATAAATTATACAGCAACTAAGTAAACAAAACCCAGCAAAAACATCAAATTATTTTAATTTGGGCAGTACTTACACCAATTTGACCTATGTTTTTTCCAAAAGTATGGTGTAAAATTAGTGTAACTGTCAAAAGTACAAAAATACATTGGTGTAACTGCAATTTATTTCCTTTACTAAAACATATTAGATAATTCTTTTTATTTAATCTAAAACCGCGTAGAAACCTAAGCATTTCTGTAAAAACAGATCCAAAAAAGGTTAAATAGGAAAAAAGTTATGTCCGATTTAAGACGAAAAAAAACTTTAAACGGCTCTACTGAAAAACTGTATTTTGTCAGTTACCCCAAGTGAACCTGCAACTGTTAGTTGTGATAGTTTAATTTCCAAACACACAGATGTAACTTAAGGGTAGGTAGGCCATCTGTCTCAAAACAAGAACCTTAACATTTAGTTAACCTGCGTTTAGTAAACAGCAAGCGAACACTGCCGCGTTTGGTTTTCATAATAACCGGTAGATGCCGCTTTTTAGCATTGAGTGTGTTTATAAAATAAATAAAAGGAAGTATGTGAAATCTGACCTTCAACTATAAAGTTAATATTATTAAAAGAAAAATAAATACTGAGAAACTATATATATTCTTTAATCATAAAGAAGTATAGTTTCTCAGTATTTATTTGTCTTAATAATATTAACTTTGTATTTCAGATTATGAAATAAATAACAGTCATGTAGATTCTTTACCATTTTAATTAATAATATAACTTCTTAAATAATATTATGTGGAACATTACCTAAATTATTATTGTGATGTATTCGGTCTTCTTCATTTTATTTTAAAGCCAAACTGAAAATAAAATAAAAATTATAGTTACAATGCCACAAGGTTTTAAAAAAATTGACAAAAAAATTAACAACTTCAAAATAACTGTTAGTACATCGTTAGCAAGGGCTTAAAAAGGTGTCAGGGTACTTCTCATTTACACTCAAATTTGATGGTCACACAGTAATAGTTCATAAACGGTATAAGTTAGAACAATAACTTTGAAATCAGATGATAAAATATCTATTTAGCTACATACAAAATAAATTTTATCGTAATAGAAGCAAAAATAATACGAAAAAATCACATGAAACGATAAAAAACGGGGTCATTTTTCGCGTTCTCATCGTGTCACACCTTCGGTTGCAATGAAACATTTGGTTACTGCATTCACAATTTTCATTCAATTTGTGTGTATCATATACTAAAATCATCGTAATTAAATATACTTTCCACACAACAGTCAAAAAAATATCTTCTTATAATTATTTTGAATTGAGAAAGCGAAATACGTTGGTCACACGATTTTAGGTACCTAAAATTTTGAGTAATAATACAAAATTGCCGTTAAACCGAACACCAGCAACCAATCACAGCATTCTATTCGGTTAACGTCAGTCGCGCTTCGACCATTGGGGAGGTGAGATAGGTCGATCGTCGCTCCGCGAAAAAAATACGTAACTTTTTGTGATTATCCATAGACATACCGTCGCTTGCTTGAACAATATTTTCTACCTCTAAACTTTAAACAATTTAATTGAAACTTTGCCATTGAAAACTCAACATGTTAGACTTATTTGTGTAGTATTCAACTTGAACCGTTAAATTCAAATTTAAGGATAATTCATAAAAAACTAAAATTTTCGTCACCTTCGTGGCATCACCTTCGTGGTGTTTTATACACGAAGGTGATTTTAGGCCACGAAAGTGATTTCTTGCTTTGGTTTATTTCAAAATATAGTGACTGGTGTTTATGTTTTTACAATATTTTAATAACTAATAAATTATACGTGGTTGGTAGAGATCAGTAGATCAATAAATAAATAAGGGCTTCGTATTTTTGTTGTCTGTCTGTATGTATGTCTGTATATGTGACTGTGTAGGTATCTGTTTGTAAGATACATTTAATCTGAAGTTTGAGTTATAAAAGATTGGAATAAAAATTGTTTTTGAAAAACAAGCTTTTAATGCGCTAAAAAGAATAAAATAAACTATAAATTATTTCAAACCCATCAACTTATTACTTTACTCAATTTATATGACTAAAAGCTAATCGCGAGATTTACTTGTACAAATAGAGGCTTGGCGACCCCCCAGGGGGTCGCGACCCACAGGTTGAAAAACACTGATCTAGGCCAACGTACTCTTTAAGACGAATTAAATGAGCCCAAAGTCAACGGGGCTGTGTCGCTTTATTGCGGAGTTCCTATGGCCACCTTCCACTCCATCATCAGACTGGTTAACATATAAGTAGGATTGAAGTCATACTCGATGAGGTAGTGTCGCTTTAGTGCGGAGAATTCGTATGCCCACCTTTCAGCTCCATCATCAGACCCTAGTTATCATATGTGATTGAAGTGCTCGTCAATACGAATTACCAAACTTGACGAAGTTGTGTCGTTTTATTACGTAGTTATTATGGCTACCTTCCAGCTCCATCATTAGACCCTAGTTATTATTATAGGATTGAAGTTCTCTTCAATACGAACCAAATGAGCCCAAACTCGATGAGGTTGTGTCTTTTCAGTGCGGATTTCTTATGACCACCTTCCGGCTTCATCATCAGACACCGGTTATCATATAGGATGGAAGTTCCCGTCAATACAAATCAAATGAGCCCAAACTCTATGGGGTTATGTCGTTTTTTGCAGAGCTCCTATGGCTACCTTCCAGCTCCATGTCATCATAATATTGCATTGTCATCCGACTTACCTACACATGCATGAAAAATTTCAACTCAATGGGAAACCGGGAAGTTGGTCAATTTTAAGTTGCAAGATTTGCCTACACCAGACATGTGAAAGTAAATATAAGCTTGCAATAATAATAAAATACGAGGCCCTCTGGCCAAAATAAAAAATATATTTTTGTTGAGGAACTGATAATCAGTAAGAGTTCTTTTTTATTGAGGTACTGATAATCCGTTTTTTGCTTCTTTAGCATTTCAGAATGCCACCAGTGTCACCCTTAAAACCAATTGCGTAGAATCTTGTAACTTAATAGATGAGTTAATCGGTAAAATTGTATCTTGTATTTAAGGTAGGTAGGTACCTATTTATATTATGTTATTGCTATTTATCTATGAAAATAAGACAAAATATGTGTTATACTAAACACTTAAGAGTCATTTACAGTAGTAAAGTTTGAAAAAAATATTGCTGTGAAATACAGAATCACTTTCGTGGCATCAAAAAATTCAAAACGTTAAAGCTTCCAAACGAGACTCACTATTTGACTGATTTACTGAGAATACAATCTTCACATCAAGCGCTACAATTTTTGTTTACAAAAAGTTTAAATAAGTTAGAAATAAAATTCGCCACGAAGGTGACGATGAGAACCGTGGCGATGAGAAATACCCGTCAACATGTCGTTTTGATTAGAAAACCCCCACTGGGCTTAAAAATAATTAGTTAGCAATTTATATTAATGGTTAAGCTCACCTTAGGTGCATTTTCTACAGCACATTTGAAGATCAGTCTAGCTCTTTCACAGCCTTTTTCTCCATCACTGACCTCTTCGTCGTTCACTAAAAGAACAACGTTGGTGATAAAAAAATATTCTCTAGATTTTTCTAGATACTTATTTTGACGAATTCGCTCTTTAATATTTTATAGTAGAGAAGGTGCTCTTTAATATCCATCATTGGAAGGATAGACGATAGTGATTTGTTTGTATTACCTTTGACACACACGTCCGCCATCTTCTTTGCGTTTTCCAGTCTCTTATCGTCGCCATTCTTTGTGAGCTCAGCCACTTTGTAAGCGTGCTCTATATTGTAGAGACCTTTGTCAGTCATCTGTAAAATATAGAATGTTAGGGTTAAGTACGAATTCACAGTGACAAGTGACTTTCTTAACATACCTAATTCTTTATTGCCTATGGTGCGGTCTTACGTTACCCAAATGGAAGATTTCCAAGAGTTTTTCAGCGCTTCAGTAATAGGAAATTAAAATGGAAAAGTTATCTATACAAAATTTTTAAGTCCGATCCGAAATTACATATTTTTGCTAGGTACCAATATAGAATCCTCAAAAAATCATAAGATTACCCCTTTAGGATCAGTCTGATTTTGATTTTTAAGGAAAGTGAAAAAATTTACTGACTTAAATTAAAATGTGGATCGTTCGTTCCACATTTTGTTCAACATCATAATCATCATCGTTGCATAATCTTATTTCACGTCGAATATTATCGGACTTAATCATTGAGAACAACATCTTGCTACAAAATATTTTCAATCAAATAAGGGCCATAATATCCTTACCAGGCCGTCCAGCTTATAGGCGCAAGCCAGCAGACACTTGACTTCAGGTTTGTTGGGGACGATCAGCTGCTTCAGGTTGACCAGCTCTATCATCTCCACCGGGTTATCCTTCATACACTGCACTACCAGCTTGATGAAGTTTGCCTTAATCTCTTCCTCGGTCAGTGCCTGTAATTTATTAGGTTATTTCTATAACTCGTCTCATAGTTCATAAAATAAAGGACACATTTATTAACTTTCAATTAGAATGATTCGCTGCAGTCCTAGAATCGTCCTTTAAAAGCAATTTCTGGAATTCTCCAGACCATTTTAAAAAGTATAAATATTGTATATTTTACTTACATTGCCATATCCACTAAATAACGCCACAGCAATCAAAAATAACTGTATCATAATGATGGATTTTCTTCAATATTAGTTTTTGGAATGAATATTCATCAAAAATTTCGTCAATTTATACTATGTTTGGAAATAATTGATGTAGGTGCATGTAAATGACTAATTTTAGATAAGTATCAAGTCTTTGTATGTAGGTAGGTAAACTATAAAATAAATTATAATAATAACCCATCTCTATTATACTTCATCTATTACATTTCAGGTTTTGATTATCATAAAATACTTATATCTTGAAATCATAATCTATGTATGAAATTATGCAATTTATTAATACGTTTACACGTGTGTTAGGTTTTAGATACGGAAGTTTTGCCATTTAAAACATAGTAAGCAGTGTTCATGACAAGACAATATTCAAAGGGGAGCCTACAAGCCACCTCTTCTTCAGTTAACACGTTGAGTGCGAAACCAGGTCTATAGACCTTGTGTACGTCTCGCTTACCGTGCGGCTAAGAAAATTATAGTCTTCCTTGTCGTGCGAAAGGCATAACTTCAATTGGGTCCGGTGTAGGAAAGTGATGAATATATATCTATGATGTATTCTTAAAATAGAATCCAATGATGTACCTACCTTAATACCAGGTTTTTAGACCTGGAACCGCACGGAAGTAATAAAATGTCTTCACAATGCGAAACCAGGTCGAAGCACCTTGTACCCTGCGCACCTGGTACCGCACCCCACGCTAGCTTCGTGCAGCCAGTGCTGCCTCGCATTCGTAAGAAACGCACATGTCGACATGGCGTCAAGAGAAACAAACAAAATCAAAACTCCAAATTGATTATAATTTAATTTGCTATACGATTTATTGCTAATTTAAATAATGTTTTTCGTGACAAACATTTGAAGTTGTAACTAAATGTTATTAAATAATATGTTTTCTTTAAATATAGCTTATTTAAGTATTTATGCACGTATGTCTTATTTGTAAAATATTTAGACTAAATTATTAAAACATCTTTGTTTGTTACTTTTTTATTTTTTTATTAAAACTTAATTTAAACTATCGATATTTGTATTTCACATCACTAGAATACCCACCAGACTTCCCTACTTCAGTGCGGCACAAGGTGCATAAGCCTTGTATTTTGAATATAGCTATAATTTTCATACTAAACAAGTTATTCACGAACGCCTTCAGGTGTATGTCAATAAATGCATTATTATTAATATTCAAAGAAAAAAAACACAATATCTATTAACATGAAGCCAAAAATAAAATTAATATATCTTAAATATTACAAGGTCTTTAAACCTTGTGCCGCCACAATGTAAGTTTTAATACCAGGTTTATTGACCTTGTACCGAAGGAATGGAAAGTATTAGAAAGTTACTGCCGCAGCAAAGGTGTTAAGGGATAAAAAAATATTCCAGAAAATTCATTGTAAGTATTTATTTGTAACATCTTAAAACTTAATTAGGTATGTGGAGCATTACAGAAACATTTCAATTAAGTATCGCCTGTTCAATAGGTTTTTAATCCTTTCTATCGACTTGGTCACTGTGGTTCATTTCTTACATGCCAAGCTATAGTAGAAGATTGTCTGGTATTCTAGAGCTTGAATCCGAACTGAAAATAAATACATGTGTTATTATCCCTGAATTGCACTGGCTTATTAATTAAGTTTAAAATAATACACAATTTAAAGCATTTGTGATGTCCTGAGTTACCAGTTCCTAGATTGAATGTGCTTGTGAAGGTATTTTTTTTTTTAAAAGAAATGGTTACAAAAGTAAAATCAACAGTTATAGGCCTAGAGAGGAGTAGATGTGCGGATTATTTCCGCCGAAATTAGAGGAGAGGAAATGTAAGCTGCGCGTAGCTGTCGCCAATCAATCAATCTACGAAATATGACTTTGTGAATAGCAAATCCTAGTATGTACGAAGTAGTAAATGTGAAACTTCTACTGTATTAGTCACTATTTTTTAAATATTTTAATGTAAATGCTTACCTTGGGCGCATTTTCTACTGCACACTTGAACATAAGCCCTGCCCTTTCACAGCCCTTTTCTCCGTCACTGACCTCAACATCGTTGACTGAAATACAAAGATTATTAAAATTTCATTGATTGCCAAAAAAGCATATCTCGAAAGGCCGCTAAGTCTTAGGAGTAAGAAAGTAAGTCAAAATTATAAAACAGTACCTTTGACACACACGTCGGCCATCTTCTTTCCGTTCTCAAGTCTCTTCTCATCGCCGTTCTTGGCAAGCTCAGCCACTTTGTAAGCGTGTTCGATATTGTAGAGACCTTTGTCGTTCATCTGCAAAAGTTAAATATAAAGAACATGATCTTCCATTTTTCAATGATCAACATCATCATTTATGCCATAGGACGTCCACTGCTGAACATAGGCCTCCCCTAATCCACGTTGATCGATTATTCAATACTACGTGCTATTTCGACTTATTTCTATAGAATCAGTGGGTACCTAGAGCCAAAATCATATATCGCTCTTCAGACTACGGGTACCTCACTATCAGGTCCTTTAGTCTACACTGCAGGAGCAAGACCCTCTCTAATTTACCAGAGGCAAACGAAGGATTTGGCCTTCACTCCCCACGCTGGCCAGACGGGTTGGGGAGGTGAAGTAAGGGTTAAACAGAGTTTAACGATACGAAGTCGCACCAATTGCTTACTTCTCTACTACACGATTAATGCAGGATTCTATGCGAATTAGATTTGGAACAGTTAAATAATAAGTCCTTAGAGAGCGCGTCCTTGGTTGCTTCGAAAGAACTCTGTTAAGGGATCGAGCCTGCAAGCTCTATCATAGTTATTAGTAATCCATAGTCCATAGTTCAGCCAAATGACGTCCACTGCTGGACAAAGATCTCCCCCAAGGCTTTCCATAACGACTCCTGCGTTGCCCGCATCTAGGTTCTTCCCGCGACCTTCACCAGATCGTCAATCCACCTAGTAGGATGCCTGCCCACGCTACGTCTTCCGGCCCGTTGTTGCCACTCGAGAACTTTTCTGCCCCAATGGCCATCGTTTCTACAAGCTATATGCCCCGCCCACTGCCACTGAGATATGGGCAATTCTACGAGCTATGTCAGCCAGGCCTAGTTAACCGTCAATATTAATTACGACGAACTTCTAAAGGTAGCAGGAAGGTGCTGGATGCAGGCCCCTACCAACCGGTCAATATGAAAATCATTGGGGGAGGCCTATGTTCAACAGCGGACCACCTATGGCTGAAATGATGATGATTTTTTTCAAGATAAATTAAAAATATTGAGAACTTGAGGCGACACTTAAGATTGCTGATTATTGCCAGAAAAAAAATAATAACTATGATGATGATGCTGATGACTTCCTTACAATTCCATCCAGTTTATACGCGCAGGCCAGGAGACATTTGACTTCGGGCTTCTTGGGAATCACCAGCTTCTGAAGGGCGGTCAGCTCAGTCATGTCCACTGGGTGGTCTTTGAGACATTTCATCACCAACTTTGTGAATTCTGCCTTAAGTTCTTCTTCTGTTAGAGCCTGGAAGTCAAATCACAACCAATAGAGACCTTACTGAAAGTGAAGCAATACCCAAACACATTTTATTTATTGTACAAGCAATTTATACATTGAAGCGCTTTGTCTTAAAATAATAACTTAGCTATATGAATACACAAATTACACATAGGTATGAGTACATTTTATTTGACCTAACTTTCTTATACATCTGAATAAACTTACCCCAGTATTTAGAAGAGATTTCTTAGATAATAATACTGCACATATTGCGTAATAGATACTTAAAGAAGTGCATTAAAACAAGTAAAATACTTAAATACTCACATAGGTATATCCTCCAAATACCAAAACCACAAACAATATCCGCATCATTTTGGAAGTTGAGTCTTTTAAATCCAATTTCAATTTAAATGTTTAGCAATACGACACTGTATTTATACGTGCAGGATCTGTTTTAAAACCAATTTGATTTAAAAACCGAAATTACTATAATACTATAATTTAAGTTCATGAAAATAAACCTGTCCTTTTTAAACAAATGTTATTTCTGTCATCATTATCAATCATTAGATTGTTCAAATTAAATACCTACATAACTATACCTATTTCAACAAATGAAGTTGGAGAGTCATGACCGTCTGATGTACACACACACACAACCCAGGTTTGATTTTCAACAATGTTAATAAACTTGCACGAGTATATATTGTCTGTTACAGGATCATTCCTTTTCTTAAAGGTTGCTATGGAGGGAAGATCTCCATAATTTATACTGCTCTGACTGAGTTTCTTGCACTGCTTCTTCTCAGCACTGGCCTTAATGTCCATAATAGTGGTAGGGTTAAGGATTATACTACATTATAATGGGATTTATTATTATAATGGGACGGGTAAAAGGCTAAAAGCGCTTCTTAAATAACCTACTTGCAAATAATAAATGAGTTTTATGTTCTTCTGTTTAATTAGTTTTTTTGATATTATTTAAATGTTTGACGGGCTAAATGGATCAGAATATCTTAACTGAAATGTAATAATATAAATTTTAAAGATCTATTTTCTATATGAGTGTCTTAGGACCGGAAATAAATTATTATTATTATTCATAATTCATTATTACACATAATTGGCGAATGATTTTATTTCGTGAAATTATCCGTACAGGCAACAATATCAACAAATTGAAATATTTTGTCTGTTGTTCTTAGATAAATCCAAGCTGAAATAAAGAAAAGAAACAGAATTAATACAAATAGTTCAACTATTTGTCATTGTATCTAGAGCTACAACAGCAAGTAGAAATCCGATAAATAATACTTAAAATTATGTAATTTTTATGAGACTTGAATTTTTAGTGTCTCGTACATCAAAGACTAATTTGCATTCAGTAACTGATGATATTTATAAAGTCAGCTAATATTCCAATAATACTTTTATTATCTTTATAAGACTTACTTCGGAAGCATGCTCATTGCTGCACTTGAACATAAGAGCTGCGCGTTCGCAGCCCTTTTCTCCGTCATTAACTGGGACTTCATTCACTGAAAATATACATATTTTTTACGATGACCCTACGTCGTCAACAGGTCATTCGGTTTCCATTGCAAGAACAATCTTCCCTAAACCAGAGGCAAATAAGTAGAAGAATTGATTGAGGAAGATTTGACACATATGATATTAATAAAGATTTAAGCATAAAAATATCAAAATTCCACTTATAACCAGCTTGAATTTTGTATCAATTTGTAATAAAGGCCTTAAGGGTGTGTATTGAGCACATCGCTGAATCCAATCCTCAGCAAATATTCCCATTTTTACCGCTTCTGGTCAGACTATAACAACTATTACTGACCATCTTATTATGCTCAAGACAACTATGCTTTTCTCAAATATTTCTATAGCAAACTTACCCTTATTGCAGGCGTCAACAAAGTGGTTAATCTTCTGAACAACACTCTCGTCATTCCCATATTGCTGTAAAGACATCTTCCTCACATTATCGCCCCAAAATTTACCTTCTCCATCCATCTGCAAACATCAGAGATGACGTGCTCAAATCTTTTTTGAAATGTTTGAAATACCGAATTTCCTACTTAATTCAGATTTCCAGTTTCCAGAACACTGGACTGAATAGAAAAAGGGTCGGTTAGAAAACCTTAAATATCTTCAAAAGTACCTAGCTTTATGAAATAAAGACTAAAATAAATAAAACTGCGTAGTTTTCATAGTATGTTTTGTTTCATAAAGGTTGGTCAAGTACTTTTGAAGACCCCTTTTCTTTGCGGTCCAGTGTATATCTTGTTTTAATTTTACTAATTCATAAGACGATCCTTTTTCCTATAAGACCAATTCAAAAATTCAGTGAAATTATTGGGTAGGGTAAAATAAAATCATACAAACAGACATGCACTGTACCGGCAACATAATATTTTAGTCACAATTTAGGCGGGGCCACTTATGACCACCGCACACCGTGAAATTAGTACACTGTAAGACCTTGGAGTCACGTCATTCATACGTGTGACCTATGGACCTGACTATAGTTTCAAAATAATATCCATCCTTCATAAAATTTTCCTAAAATAAATGGTCTGTAATGAAGCCAATTAGCTTCAGGAAAACCTTTTTCATTCAATAGCCCTTTGTGTTGATATGAATTGTTTGAGTTTGAGAATAGATAGCATTAAAATTTCAAACAATTTATCATTTGAACGACTTATGAAGTTTGAATGAGGCAAATGAATAGAAGAAAAGGTTAGGGAGAAGAAATCACTTACCATACCAGCCCTCTTATAGGCGCAAGCGAAGTAACACTTAACCTTCTCACTGTCGGGCATCTTAGAATTCTTCAGCTCTTCTAAATCCTCAGGTGAAAGGGTATATTCTTGGGAACATTCTCTCAGGGCATTCATATACTGCTTCTGTAGTTCTTGCTGGGAATTCGCCTGGAATTAATAACATCGGAAAACTACAGACTTTATAACTCAAGGACTTATAAACAACAATTGACAACAAATAAATATTGATTTCAGGTGGAAAAGAAATAATCCAGAGTCAAACTGATCTTCGATCATGACGTGGAAGTTCACTTTTTAGAAAATAGTCGTATAATAAAAAGTATAATACTCTGTAATATAACTAGTATTAAATTTTTTACACACCTCAACATTCGATTGAATGAAAGAACAAATAAATAGAATATTCAGCACAAGAGCAAACATTTTTCCACACCAAACTGTTCCCGATGATTTAAAAATGTTAATAACAAGGTGTAAAGCAGTGTAAACGCATTTATATAAGCTCGAAACTATTATAAAGCTTATGAATGGGGAAATATTGGACATGTCCATTCACACCATGAAATTGATGGTAACAATGGGAATGTCACCATCACAGGGTTATGAGCGCGAAATGAAGTAGGTAAATCGCTAATGGCAATGCAGAGTGATGAACTGTTTGTTTCGCAATGTGTTTGCCGTTTTGATGAAAAGGGTTCAAATAATGATCGTTTAACAAAACAAACTCTTACTTTTCTCGTATTATTATTACACTTTTTTCTAGAAATTGTCATTTTAAACAAAACATTTCTGAAATAAAGTAAAGGACCCATTATACAGGGTATTAGATGAATGGGTATATTATGAGCCGACACTAGCCCATGTTAACATGGTCATATAAATGGTATAGTGAAGTCAGAAAGTTGATATTTCTTCATTTTAATTAAGTATTTTAATTTTCATACACATCGGATTTTATAAAATTTATTTTGTATGAAAATTAAAAAAAATTAAAATGATGATATCAAATTTCTGACTTCACCATACCATTTATATGACCATGTTAACATGGGCTAGTGTCGGCTCATATACCCATTTACCTAACACCCTGTAGAACCCTGAGGTGCTCCAAACTTTTTTTCAAACATAACTTACTTAATACCTATCATTCTTTTTGAGTTCTTTTGACTTAAACTATGTATGAGGATGTACAAAGTTCATTCTAACAATAGGCGTTTCCTTCTTCAGTTTGTCACATTGCAATTTTAACGAGCTGATAATTTGAGCAAATTACATACATCTAAGTAATAATCAATTGTACGTATTTCAATGTTACATCCAAAGTCGTTTCATTAGACTAATCATAGTCTGTGAACCTGATTATTTTATTATTATCTGGGACTATAAAACCACTTGTTTTGGGAAGGATATGCCAAATTCAAACAGTACCTTCGAATAGTTTGGTGGTGTGAAGTCAAGATACAAAATGATTCGTGGTTTAGTTTTGTTGTGTGCTCTCTACTTTTTGGCTTTGACCTCCTATTCGGTTAATGTAAGTAAATATTTCAATACTCTTGTACTAGTGTTCTGAACTCTGAAGATTGAAACAGTCTAAACTTAATTTTTAGTTAAAAAGATCTACTGCTTCAGATGAGACTCACGCCCTTATTCACAAAACGATGCTTGCTTAAGTGAAGCAGCAAATCGAACGGATAGCGTTGAAGAATAGAGCTCTGTGATTGGTTCCTATGTCACCCGGTGCGTTCACGCGCACTGTGAGACCTCAATAATGTTTGTGAATACGGGCGTCTGTCTAAAAAATATTTTTCTTTTCATTTTCTTAATATTTATTTTCCACCATGCAGGCCATGACAAATGAACAAAGGGCAGTGATAAGGGAGCACTTTGAGAAACTTGGTATCGAGTGCATCGGAGACAACCCGATCACTGAGCAGGACATCAACGACCTGCGGGCCAAGAACGTGCCTTCAGGACCTGCGGCCCCATGCTTCTTAGCCTGCGTCTTGAAGAAATGTGGTGTGGTAAGTTGTAACAGACCATCAAAATACGACATTGCAAATGCCAACTCTTCATCATCGTCATCAATTCAGCCATAGGACGTCCACTGCTGAACATAGGCCCCTCCCAATGATTTTCATAATGACCGGATAGTAGCGCCTTCCTGCTACTTTTATGAGGTCAATGGTAACATTTAAAAAATAAAATTAATAGAATAATGAAAAATCAAATTAGTTTACCCTACCCAAAATTTGTATCTACCACGAGTTGGTTGTGAGTTGTATACAATATGTATCTACACATTTGTATGAGAAGTGTATGTATGTAGAGCCATAGATAATATAATACTAGTGTAGAGCGTTAAAGCCAAACGCGTTTGAGTACCAAAGATAATGTACCTAATAATGAAACTTCAAAAATGAATTCACAGATGGATGACCATGGCATGCTGAAATCGGAAACCGCTCTGGATTTGGCGAGGAAAGTATTTGACGACGAAGAAGAACTCAAAATTATTGCTGACTATCTCCATTCGTGTCATACTGGTAATTTATAATATCAACCATTTTTCTTTCAAGGCTGAGCGTCAAGAACCCAGATCCATTAAACTTTAATATTTATTCCATTCTACTTTGATAATTATTAGTTACTCGTGTATCACTCGTCCTGGATAATAGATTTATATCAATCCGTACCTATCTTCCTACAAAAAAGTAACTAAGTCACGGTTGCACCATAATTTACTTTAAACAAACTTTAAGTCTATCAAACTCCATACCAAAACCCCCGGTTGAAGTTATTGTTACCGTCAAAGTTGATGCAACTCAACCTAAAAACAGTTCTGGAATTGATGGATGAATGTCCCTAAATGATACAAATATTTTCTCCCAGATATTTAATCGTGTAAGCTTATTAAATAACTATCCCAACTAATATTATAAATGCGAATGTAACTCTGTCTGTCTGTCTGTCTGTCTGTCTGTCTGTCTGTCTGTCTGTCTGTTACGCTTTCCCGCTTAAACCTCGCAACCGATTTTGATGAAATTTGGCATAGAGATAGTTTGAGTCCCGGGAAAGAACATAGGATAGTTTTTATCCCGGTTTTTGAAACAGGGACGCGCGCGATAAAGTTTTTCTGTGACAGACAAAATTCCACGCGGGCGAAGCCGCGGGCGGAAAGCTAGTTATTTTATATTTTCCTTTACAGTAAACTCTGAAGCCGTAAGTGACGGAGAGAAGGGCTGCGAGCGAGCAATTAGCGCGTACAAATGCATGAAGGAGAATGCACCCAAGGTAAACACAAATTTTACTTTACCTTATAGGGAATATGCATCGATTTTAAAAGCTAATAAATTAAGAATATGTAGTTAAATCCTAGAAGTTTTGCAAAATATTGTCTCAAATCAGACTGGAAACCAAAAAGTGAAAGCGTATTAACTTTTTTATGAAAAATGTAGCTGAGCATGACGTCACATTACTAGCTAGTATGGGACACTGCATTGTGTAGGTATAGAGATGTCACGAGATTACAAATAGCTGTATCTTAGGTACCTATTTCTAGAGATTTTTGAAGAGCAGAAGGTTAATGCCAAAAAGTGTGAAATTTAAAAAAAACCCATACGGTCTCAGAATGAGGATCATTTCGATTTTTAGCTGTGAATGCAGATTTATAGGGCTAAGANATGGATATAATTATAAATGTATTAGACTTTGCGAATAAATTCACGTAACGTAAAAACATTTGTCGGCAGATGTTCAAAGCTGCACAGATCATTTTATATGTCATACAAAGTAAATTGAGGCAAATGGAAAGGCGTGAAAAAGGCACCCGAACCAAATCCAGCAGATCTTTTAACACATTCATTCCATTGACTCTGGATCTTTAAAGGAGATAAATGTTTGTCTTTATTTGTTGACAACAATTGATAATTTTCAGGTTATATGTCCTTAATTTTGTGCCTTATAAATTACAAAGCCTCTTTAGAGGTCTGTCTAATCATTAAATCATCATAATCACAAAATGTCTAAACATTAATATGAAAAAAATATTTTTCAAGAAACCATTGGTAGTATGTTGATACTTAGCCTAGTATATTAATTTGATTATTTATTGTTTGCAGTTTGGCATCGACGTTTAATGAAGAACAAGTTTGCAGCATCATCACTTTTAAGACCTCTCAAAACATCAAAAAACGAAAAATATTTCACAAAAATAAAATTAATGAATTTTGAATTAATGTACCTATAAACGCAACTTACTCGTACGTATTTTCTCGACAATGTGATATTGGATAATATTTGACTTTGGCTGAACGGATAATGGAGATATGATTTGTTATTAATTAGTTTTAAGTTAATAAAATTGAAGTAACTACTCATTGAAATTACTTTTTATTGCATTTATCCTTTCCCACCTAATTATATCTAGGTACCTACTTACATAATTATTTTGTAGTTAATTCGTGGTCAAATGCTTCATGGAAAAAGTTATTTCCTACAGAGTAATAGCGTGCGCAAACGCTGGAACGGCATGATTTCGTTCTGGTGCGCAGAAATTTTCCCATCGTTGCCCTAAATTGCCTCATCAGGGGAAAATCCCCGTGAATGGGTGGAGTCAACAACTTAACTTACAATAAAAACCCAACCGGTAAACTTTGAGTTAGTAGGTATTTGTAAAGATTTTATAGTTTGCTTTTTAGGCAAATTGGAATCATAGTCATAAATTCATTGAATAATTTCTAAACTTCTAGCACTATAGAAACGGACTTAGTTTCAAACCAAAATCATAAGCTAACTTACGGCTCTGGTACTGTAAAATTTTGGTCATTATAATTATTGATAAAGAGCATGCTTACTAAACTTGAAGAATTGCCAAAAGAGATTGTTAAAACCTCGTCAAATAGCACCATCAAGACGATTTCGAACCGTTTTTATCACAAAACTTTCAGAAAAAAGTTCCAATAATGAAATGCAATCTATTCGAAATTGCTGCTTCATACATAGAGTCAGTACTTGAACTTTCAAGGTCACCCAAAACTCAAGTCATGATTCTTTGTACTTCTCCAAATTGTCATCAGCGATTCTCAATAGCCGAGAAATAAGGTTCGTGTAATCAATTTGGGTGTGTCCAATAGTGACACTATCATGCAGGATGTCGCTTCGGGAGTTCCATTATAAAAGTATTGGATCTTGAGTTTTGTATTTAGTTAGCTACTGGACTTTGTCATTTGAAGAAGTGATAAATAAACAACATGGCTACACGTGGAGTTTTCTTTGTTCTGTGCGCCTGCGTTCTGCAGTTGGCTTTGGTAAGTTATGAAGTCAATAAATACGTAATACTATTAGTTATAAGATTTTAGGAGTGAGTTCTTCATAATAGTCCAAGTATTGAATTAAAAAGCATTAGTATCTAACAAATCTGGGCTTACTACATAGACCCACGGTGATCAGTCGAACCCTGATGGTAGTGGTATGGTACATGATAAGAGCGCCACTTTAAATTCAAATAGTTTATTCAGTACATAGGCCCTTTAAAGGGCACTTATTACATGGGACTACGGGACGGTTTAACGGAACATACCTAGCTCTTACAGCTTTCTCACTGCAAGGTTACGTGTGACAATGTCCTTAACTCGTGGAACTATAAGTGGTCGCATGAGACCGCGGTAATTTCTATTGCGTCTCGATTCGCTGATACTTGTAGGGTTAAGTCTTAATGCTTTTATTCCAGTCCCTAACAGAAGAGCATAAGGTCCGTATCCAGGCAACCTTCGAGACGGTTGGCGAGAAATGTGCCAAAGAGAACAACATCACTGAGGAGGTCATCGCTGCTTTCAAGAGCAGGGAGTTCCCCGAGGGTCAGGAAGCAGCCTGCTTCAGCGCCTGCGTGCTCAAGAATATCGGACTGGTAAGTTAGTTTATCTTATGTGGCAAAATTTGACAAGTCTCTTCTTTGCGACATACATACTATTAGAAGCTTAGATATTCAATAAATGACCTGAGTGTTAACTACAAGAATGAATGAATTCTATACTAATAGGTAACTAGCGGCCGCTCGCGACTTCGTACGCGTGGATCCCGTTTTACCCCCTTAGGGGTGGAGTTTCGTAAAATCCTTTCTTAGCGGATGCCTACGTCATAACATCTACCTGCATGCCAAATTTCAGCCCGATCCGTCCAGTGGTTTGGGCTGTGCGTGGATAATACTTTTTCCATATTCAAATTCGTTTTAAGCACTTTTTACGTTTTACTTTTCAAAGCCAGTCTTACAAAATAGCTGAACAAAATAAGTATAGGATGATGGTGGTGGTCTATTAGAATAATATTTTATTTTGCAAATAAAATACCTTGTTTCATTGCAGATAGACGACGAAGGCCAGCTATCCCGGGAAACAGCAGTGACCAACGCCAAGGACATTTTCGGCGATGGGGACGAGCTCAAAGCCATTGAAGACTTCATAGAAACCTGCAAAGGTAATAAAAGTTAATCAAAAATATGTTACTAGGTGTACCTATTTAGTGTGTTTCACAACAATAAAAAAATCTGAATACTTTTGAAAGGTTTTCTAAACTTAACTAAAGGTCGTCAACTACAATTTCATAGAAAAACATTGTATACTTAACTCATTATACCTACTAGGTACTTACACTATTTCAAGATGCCATCGGGACCTAAGCGGGTTGTTTATCGAATTCGAAGCGCTTCAATGTTTTCTTATATTTCGATAGTGGAAGTATCAATTAATGTAAGGGACATTTTGGCCAAAATGAGTTATATATACCAACGCATTCAGAATTTTCGGCTCTATCGATTGGTATACTTGAAATGTTGATATCTTTAAAAAAATGTCCCTTACCTTAAACATTTTTAGTCGTCTGAATACGACTTTTGGGGAAACAAATGATTTAAAGGACGTAATTCCTTTTAATAATACAATTCAGCCCTTACCCTAAACTGTTGGTTTTAACTTTTGAACTCATTGAACCTTACTTCATTTAAAACTTTTTGATTTATTGTAATTAGGCCCTTACGTTAATATGCATATAGGATATCAATTACTTTTTTGGTGGTGATATGCATTTAATGCCTCCCACTCCTACTACACTTATGAACACTAAGTTGTCTTGTTTCTATCTATTTTCTGTTTATTTTTACGCAGTTGGGTTTTTGACCGAGGGGCTGCAGGCTCTTCAGAAGCTGTTCAATTCCGTCATCCTCGAAGGAAAAATGCCTACGGTATGGCACAGAAGTGTGGTGACACTCTTCTTCAAAAAAGGCGACAAAACCTTGTTGAAGAATTATAGACCCATCTCACTTCCGAGCCATGTCTACAAGCTGTTTTCGAGAGTCATTACGAATCGTCTCGCTCGTANGAAATTTGGCGTTTATATTATGAAAGAACAGAAAATTCTAAGAAACTTTGCCATAGAAACTATTTAAATCGTAACATCACATAAAAAGATATTGAGGTATAAAGAAAAAAAAATCGTTTTTTGGCTCTCCTGAAAAGTCGTGTTTTGTCCCTTACAGTAATTGATATTTCCACTATCGATTTATCACTTCACCGCACTTTAGAACACAAATTAACACCAGATTTGTACACTAAAGTCCATTAAATAATACATTAAAACCATTAAAACAGATCGACCATTTTCCCGTTCAACTACCCTCCACTGAATCCTAAATCTCGCCATGAAGCGCGCGTAACTGACGTTTACTGCCAAATTGACATCTGTCATTCGTAGTATGAATTTGGACAGCAGCCTTTTGGCCATAGACTACAAAAAATATTTGAAACGTTACGTTTATTTTCAGATTCTGTTGTGGACGGAGCAGACGCCTGTGAACGCGCCAAACTTGTCTTCAAATGTTTCGTGGAGCATTCAGAAAAGGTTAGCTTTAACATTGATCTTAAATCATTTTGGAAATACAGTGAGGCAGATGTAACCTATTAATTATTTAGTTAAATTGTAGTAACAATAAAGATTCCCTAATATCCTTGGATATTTTGTACTGCGCCATCTACTCGTAGTCCCAAAGTAATGCCCCTAAGAAACAACTTTACTTTTTATGTAAGTTCCCTTGATTGTAGATTATATTAACAGTGGCTCCTTTATTCCATTATTCAAAAAAGTACGAGTAATTATAACTTTTATATTTTTGTTCCAGTACGATTTCTAAACACAAGAAGAAGACGCTCGGCTGGGATTTTTATGGAAACCTGATGAAATTATTTAGTTAAGAAGGCATTATAAAATAGGATTGTGGACATTAAAATATCATAAATATTAAATAAGTTAAGCAAACAAACTGTTTCGTTTTTTAATTAACCTTATCTCAGTCATCAAATAGGTACTATTGATCATTTATGATAGAGAGTAGAGACAACAATTATTATGATAAAATTATCGTAAGTAATTTTCTGTTGGCCTAAAAGTTAACTGGTAGAGAATGCCACACGGCATTAAGTTCGCCTTAGGTATCTTAATTTTTGTGTGCAATAAAGAATTTGCCAACTTTCTTGAGTAGGAGTCACAGGGTGTTTATGGTAAAGTAATAAAAATAAAAACTTCTGTCTGAACACGATTTATAAAAATATGTAGATTAGTAGTTTTTTTTACTCAGATTGACTTAATTGCCTAGTAAAGTTTTTTTTTAAATTGAAGAGCATTTTTTAAGAGCGTTTTCATACACTGCATGGTACAATTCAATTTTGAAATGTTAGAAAATGGAAAATATTACTTTGTTTTTTAAGTAAAATGTACTGAATTTCAATGCGGATATGAAATGATATCCATATTTATTACTTTGCAGTCGGTGCTTTGCTTATACCCTGTGTCACCTACCTCACGAGCAAGCAATTGTTCACATGCCAGTTTACATTCATAGTTAGTGAAGGCGCTTTTAGTTCAATCTAGTATTGTGGTTCATCATTGAAACGCATTGGAAAAACTCTAACTAAGAGAGGATAGCCCAGTTCCCAGTTCAAAATGTTTTACGAGGCCGGCAATTAGATAGGTACAGGAATACTAAAACACCCCCGTCAACACTAGTAGGTACACTATTAAGATTTGTAATAAAATTACACTTTGTGCAATTTTGTATGCTTGACTATCCCTAGAGATGTTTCCTGGGTAAAAAACAATAGTTTGAATTAGTGCGTCGGTTAACTTATCAAAGAATACTCGACACGTATTTTTCACTTTTTTAAACTAATGAAAATTGAGAGATAAAGCGCGAAAGAAGGGGCCCGTGACAAGGTGTTCTTAAAAATGTAGTCACGCGGAACTTCAACCGAGTAAATACAAATGAGTAGGTCATCTTCATAGAAACCACTTCAACGCATCATAACTTCGTAATTACTTGGTTACCTTGTTGGCTACGTGTTCAATATTTTTTGATAGTGTAATTGAAAAACTAAAAGTTAATTGTTAGGAAAGTAGCCTATTACTCTTTTTTTTGCAGCTTAAAATAGATAGTTATTAAACATGAGAAATATTTTACCATAATATCCCAATATCACACTAAATCACAAACTCAAAACAGAGCTAGTATGGTAACAAACTAGCATTTCCTCCTGGAGGAAGTTCGCTGCCGTGATTCTCGGATTTTTGCTCCACTTTCAAGGTTTTTCATAAAATATTTGCAGTGGACGTCCTATGGCTGAAATGATGATGATGATGATTTGCTTGAAATCATAGAGTGATTCTATGAAACCTTAATTGAAACCCAATGTTATGTAGTTATAGAAAATAAATTCATGAAACAAAACGAGTTTTTATTTACACAATACTTTATTAGGTTTAAATTGCTAATAGTATTTACAGATTCCGCAAAACAATGAACATAACGCAATTTAAATTATTATTAATAAAATAAACTATATTTTACCTTATTTTAAATTAATTTCATACATTAATATCTGTCATGACAATAACTTCTACAGCCAATCATTTTATGTGGACGTAAAACTAAAAGTATCCATGATCTTCAATGTCTTTCAGAAATTGATGTTGAAGCCGAACTGTAAATGAAAATGCATTTTATTCTTAGTATGTTTTATAAATACACATTCAAATAAAAAAAACATTGAGGGCATGGGCCTTTGTATAAGCATTATGACGTTTATTTTTTCAGGTTTTTCAGGCGTTCTGAAGCGATGCGCCTGAAAAAACGTGGTGTACAATGGGCATGGACTCTAAAATAATAGAACTTATATATTCATACTTGTATTGTTTTATTTATACAATCAACATGAGTGCGGCTGAGAATAATAAGTATTGGGTACATATGTAGGTAGTTACTCTATATTGCGTTCTTAAGGGACCTGCAGCTGATAGTTTTAAAATTGATTTTCAGAGATTTCTGTAGCTAAAATCTACTTATCACTTACTTTATCCGCATAACCAGTTAAGCAGTCAAAAACTAACTTCGCTCGATCACAACCCATGTTACCGTCGGACGTTGAGGCGTCATTCACTGAAATGGAGAAAATTAAGTTTTTCATTAGAATATACATTTTAGAACTGTAGCAAAGACGATTGAAAATTATATTTTGACACTCTACTTTTATTTTTTTCACCGTCCACCCACAAGGAGGACAGATGATTTCATGGAGGTAGCAGGAAAGCGCTGGATGCAGGCCGCTACCAACCGGGCGATGTGGAAATCATTGGGGGAGGCCTTTGTTCAGCAGTGGACGTCCTATGGCTGAAATGATGATAACTTTTCCTTAGTCTGCTGGTTAAAAAGGTGGACTCTTTCAATCCGTAATTTCCATCGGATCCCGGGACACACAAGTAATTAAAAACAAGCTCGTATTTTTAATTTCTGAAAAAGACAATGCCGGAAATTGGCGTCTTTTTTTTTTCGCGCGGCCATCGACCTAACCTTGTTTTTTGATTACAAAATAGTGTAATAAACTAAACTTACTATGGCATGTATACCTCTAAACTCAGTCTGAACTGAGTTACGAGCATTAGAAGTTTGATGATTTTCATACTAGATTTGCTTTTTGCGCGCAAGTTTTGTAAGAAATTGCAACAAAATAGTGACATTGTATGTGTAAACAAACAATACCATCCATTATAGGCTCCAGACATCAGTATGGAGCAGAATCAGCGCAATAAAAAAATAGCGCAATATTTTGTTGCAATTTCTTACAAAACTTGCGCTCAAAAAGCTAAATCTAGTATGAAAATCATCCAACTTCTAATGCCCGTAACTCAGTTCAGACTGAGTTTAGAGGTATACATGTCATAGTAAGTTTGGTTTATTACACTATTTTGTAATCAAAAAACAAAGTTTGGTCGATGGCCGCGCGAAAAAAAAAAGACGCCACCTTCCATACAAAATCTGGCATTGCCATTAATCATGTTTCCGCTGGACGCAGGCCGCTACCAACTGGACATGGAAAGCATTGGGGGAGGCCTATGTTCAGCAGTGGACGTCCTATGGCTGAGATGATGATGATGATGAATAATGTTTCCATGCTATCGTTGTACTAACCGGCAGAGCACTCTGTAATGACTTCTTCTACTTTCATCAAGTGCTCGTCGTCGTTTTTGAACAGTTGCTGCGCGTTCTTCCTTACGCCATCCGGGTTGAATTTGCCCATGTCGTCCATCTATAGACAAAATTAAATGAGTACTTATAATATTTATTAAATACATTTGCATATAATAAATACAGTCACTAACTAAGCAAATCCCAAAATAAAACAATCGCCGTACTTAACCCGCCTCAATGAACTCACATGTACATATGTATTACACTACGAGTATCAACGTGTTATAATCTCAATAATTAAGCTCTTGTCATGTAAATTAATAAATAATATGTACTATTTGATCTCCTTAAAGCTTGTTTATCATGACTCATTATGAAAAATTTCAACCCTAACAACTGTAATATTGCTATTTACTGTAACTACTATTTTACAGCCAGACCACTTTGCTGTTATCATTATATTATGATAAAATATGAGGTAAAATAAGATGAAGTTGTAAAAAGAAATACTTACAACACCGATCTTCTTGAACAAACAGGCAGAGAAGCACTTAGCGTTCTTCCCATCTGGCAGCATCTTGTCTTTCAAGACCTTAATCTCCGCTATTGTCAGAGGGTGGTCCTTGATGCAGGACAGGCCGCTGGTCAGGAGCTTCGACTGGATGATAGCCTGCTGGTCTGCGCTCAGGGACTGGAATGAGAACAGAATTGGTTGATGATCGATGACGATATACCTACTAGAATCGCTTGTAGTTAGGCCTTATTTCGTTTGAATAAAAAATGCTGTATTGGCTTTGTCTCTGATATTAAAAGCCAAAAATAACATACAAAATAAACATGGCCGTATTTTGACAGAAAATAAATGATTTGAATTTGGAACACTTAAAAGAACTGGACCAAAAGAACGAAACATAAATTGTATTTTTTTCATTCGAAAGTAACTGACAAAAGAGGACATACGAATAATATTTTAAACTCATTTCTTTATTCGTTTTTAAATACTTTCATTTGTTTTCTATTAAAAGAAGGAGTTTTATTGCATCGCATAATAACGAGTGCATTTTGGATTTACTTGGCCAAAAAATCACAACTGGATTTTTATATTGCATCAATATTCATGAATGGTTTAAGATAAAGTGGTAATGGTTTGAGAAACCAACAAGGGGACTGAAATGAGACCTCACAAAATACAAAATACAGTTAACTGTGGTATCAACTATTTCATTTTATTTGCCAATAAATACCCTGATAGTAGATTCATACAGTAATTAATCTACTTACAGAAGCACTCGCCGCACACAACACCGCAGCTGCCATCCAGAAAATAACGCCTTTAACCATTGTTACTTGATTTAAATCACTGTAATTGAAACTAGCGAAGGATAGTTCAATAATGACACCCTATCCAGCCACTATACTATTTTATACTAGTCTAAAAGCATGCATGAAGTGCAAAAATCGTGTATGTAAACCCACTTCCGAGGATTCGGCCTTCAATTAGTAGGAAGTACGCTTAACCCGTGGAAACCGAATGATGATCATTTGTCTTGATTGGATATGCTGGTGGAACGAAAGGCAGATAAAAGGCGCGTCTGTTAAGACTTGTGTTTGTCGCTTCGCCGTGAAGCGTTAGGTTTGTTTTGGTAATTGATAGTTCTAAACCTATATATAGATAGTAGAGAATTTGTCGGTCTTGAGGAGGTTGGATTTCTATAGGACCCAGATATTTAAAAACACTAAGAATACTCAATTGTTTATTGCATCCTCAATGTTACAGAGGTGGTATGTTTTTATTCTAAGATACAAGGACCCTGTCGGGCACAGCATTCTAAGAGAGCAATAACTTTGTACTTTATGTAACTCATTTCAGTCTGTCCAGAATTGTGTTAAGATAAATTATAAATGAATGAACAAGTTATTTATTGTAAATGTAATTTTAACTGCAATCCATTCCAAAAATGACATCCTAACCTTAGGTTCACTTTTTATGCCAGGGCCTATCTAAGTAATCTCTACCAGTAATGGTTTTCAATAGTTTTTTATCATAGTAGGTTTTATCACAGGTTTACTCAGTTTTGCTTTGTTGGCGCTAGAAATAATTGAAGACGGATGGAACATTGATTTCATTTATTAAACAAAAAGTGAGCATACAATATAATAAGTAGAGTTCCGTTGTAAAATTATCCTAGTCGGTAAACGTCAGCTTCATTTCACCATGTCCTTCCTTAACGCCCGCCTTTGAGCTGAAAACAATTAAAATGGGTGTTCATCATCATCATCATAATCATCATCATTATTATCGTCGGTCGGCCGTTTGGTGTAGTGGTTCAGAACGGACTACTATGCCGAGAGGTCCCGGGTTCGATTCCCGGCCGGGCAGAAATTGAAATGATGAATTTTAATTTCTGTGACGGGTCTGGGTGTGACTATGTATAATATTTATGTATTTAAAAAAAAAAAGTATATAAGTAGTATATCCGTCAAGCTAGCACCCATAACACAAGCATTAAGTTGCTTACTTTGGGGCTAGCTGGCGCTGTGTGAAATTGTCCAAAGATTTATTATTTTATTATTATTATTATATCAAGTAGGTAATTTTCTTCAATGAAGGAGCACGACCCTTTCTAATTTACTAGAGACAATGAAGATTTAGCCTAAACCCCCACGCTTGCCTGAATTTGGGCTAGCGATATTAGGAATAGCGCTTAGACACTATCTTTAGCGATAGAGTGAATCGGGATTCCATTTATCAGAATTAAGAATCACAGTCGTTTTTAGACAGTTTTATAGAGCACTAGCATTTGCCCGCGGCTTCACCCACGTGAAATTTAGTGTCACAGATCGGCATAAATAATACTTAGCCTATATTTTAATCTACATTACAAACAATAATACTGTAAAGTTTCAGCAAAATCCGTTCAGTAGTTTTTGCGTGAAAGAGTAACAAACATCCAGACATCCAAACTTAAGCATTTATAATATTATAGTAGGATTAGAGGCTGCAACCTGCGTAGACACTTTTGTGACCTGTGTGGTATCAGGTCCCTTACTTATTTTCATAAAATCAACATTAATCATCGGTCGTTTCAGTCGAATGACGTCCATTGCTGGACAAAGGCCTCCCCCAAGGATTTTCAAACGACTTCAAAAAAGGAGGAGGTTCTCAATTCGACCCGTATGTTTTTTTTTTCTATGTTTGTTACGCGATAACTCCGCCAATTATGAACCGATTTGAACAAATCTTTTTTCGGCGTATAGGTAATACCTCAAGGGTGGTCCCATTTAAATTTAATAATAAAAAAACAACCCCCATGGGTGGAAAATTGGGGATGAACTTTTTTATACGCAATATCTCCGCCGATTATAAACCAATTTGAACGATTATTTTTTTTTGTTGAATAGGTATTATCAAAAGGGTGGTTTCATGCGAATTTGAAGAAAATATTTCACCCCCAAGGGTGGAAAATTGGGTATGAACTTTTTTATACGCAATATCTCCGCCGATTATGAACCAATTTTTTTTGGTCTCAGTGTACTGCCTACCTTCAGTGGTAACATCAAGGTAATAATTAGTTAACTAAAAAGCAAGAAATAAGTAAAATTTTATAAAAAAATAAAATAAAACCGACTCCAAAAAACCTACACTAAAACGTAGAAAAATAATTACTAATTACCTACTTATTTATTAGGACAAATTATTAATATTTATGTAGGTATACCATGATTTTGGAGTCTACGTTTTAGTGTAGGTTTTTTGGAGTCGGTTTTTTACAAAGACCGATCCTGCGCCGCCCGCATCCAGTCACCTCCCGTGACCTTCACCAGATCGTCAGTCCATCTAGTGAGAGGCCTGCTCACACTTCCGGCTCGTCATATCGGCACATTTGTCATATTCTAAGATAAATCTATAGATATAATCTAAATATGGTATAATCTCATAATCATCATCATTTCAGCCATAGGACGTCCACTGCTGAACATAGGCCTCCCCCAATGCTTTCCATGTTGATCGATTGGTAGCGGCCTGCGTCCAGCGCTTCCTTTACGATGTCGTCGGTCCACCTTGTAGGTGTGGTAGGTATAATCGAAAAATGGTATAATCTAAGAGGTAGTTATTTGTTAACAATAAACTTACAGCATTCTTGTGCTTAGCGAAGCATACCAGAAGATGTTTCGCGCGTTCGCAGCCCTCAGCCCCATCCGAAACTGACTCATCATTCACTGAAAATTCATTAAATAAATACACTTGATAATGGTTCTATGGTTGAAATTAAAATCCTTAAAAATTTTGTTTATAATTTAATTATCCTTTGCGCACAATAGAGAAGCTCTTGGTTTCTTTCACTCGATGGAAAGTCATGATCAGACCGCTGGTGTAAGCGAGTTTCACTAAATCCTCAACCACAGAGGATGAATGTATTCTTGTTATGGCGATAGACTTAGATAACATGGTATTATCTAGCTAGGCGGACTAAGAACAAGCTCTACCACCAATCAAACCAAACTGAAAATGTTGCCCCCACTGGAAATCGAACTCGGGACCTCTGAGTCTGACCACTAGATTACAGAAGCGGTTCTTGAGGTTGAGATCCATCTGTGTTCACAGGTAAAGCTGAGAAAGCCGCTCAAGGCTATTAGCTCAGTCCTTCCGAAAAAAAATACAGAAGCGATTATTGGGTAAATGCCTATTTTAAAAACCTTTATCATACCTTTAGTGCAGTCCTTCGCGATTTCAGCCATCTTAGCTTTGTCTTCATCGTTGCTCAGGTACTTGTCACTCAGCTTGCCAGTGACGACTTCAGGGTCGTATAAACCTTTATCGTTGATCTGAAAAAAAAACAGCAATATTTTTTTCACTGCACGGAGAGCTTAAGGATTCTGGCAGTGATGAGAAGTAGCCCTATGAGAAGTGGCCATAATGAGAAGTAGTCCATTAGCGAGTCGGTTGCCATAATACGCCTGAAGGTAATTGATTATGTACTTATTTAACTAAGAACCAGGAACCCTACAAGTGATGGTATTGAGTAATCCCGGGCATTCTCTCGCATGTCAACGGATAACCTACCCAACATACACAAATGAAAATGATATTATTGACTTCTTTCAATCGTAGTCGACAACATAGCGGCCTATGAAGGGTGACTCACTACGTCAGCGGTGTTGATGACACCCTATCATCAAAATTCTGCATCTAGTTGTGATATACAAGTCTGATTAGGCGATCTCAAAAATGTCTATACAACTGGTAAAAAAATAATTTAAGTTCACTATTGCGTTTAAGAATTACATCCTAACCTGAACACGACCAGTCAGATGATTTTTCAAAGTTGTAATTAGGTACTATATTATGTTATTGTATTGTGTAAAGTTCACGGGTTGCTTACATTATAATATTATGCATGCTGTGGTTATCGTTTGTGTGAGAGCAGTTAGCTAGAGACCTTTGGCTTAATTTTTTTAATTGTGTATAATACTGTATCTCATGTTGATAGCCCAATAAAATAAATAAATAAATAAATAAATTTTATTGACACTCTAAAAAGGCCTAAAAAGGACACAGGCTCGACAATTTCCCCAAATATCAGGTCCCTGAACTACTTTTTAAATCGGAAAAAGAGTTATTAACGTAGGTAAGAGTCAGATCTAGAGAATATTTAAGGGAGAGTCCGCTAATTTGGACCAGTTTTTCTCAATCCCATTTTACACATAGTTTTCTTTTGTTTTTGCTAATGGCCATGGTATATAATAAAAGATACATTATTCAACTTACTATTTCATAAGTATTAATTAACATGATTGTTGTATATGTAGCACAAATCAACAAAGTACGAGTTCAGAGCTTCGGTCCAATTTAGCCACCGGTTCGATAATTTGTACCACAGGGTTACTAAATTGGATTTCAATAAATTTCAAGCCTATAAAAAAACTATGGCAAAATATTATACGATACATTCTTAACAAATTAGGAAACGAAAAGGAACAGTAGTTAATAACATAGACAATCGGTATTGTTTTACACGTTATCACGATTTTGAGTACAAGTTTTGTAATTCCAATTATCGTAACGCACACTTGTACCTAATCTACTTTGCCAGTCTTTTGCTTTCATTTATTGTTAGTCAAACATAACTACGCTATTATAACTTCAAGATATGATTTACTAAAAAAAAATTCAAAATCCTTTGGTAAAGTCCCATACAACTTGATGTGGTACAATTTAGCCGACTAGGTGATAGTGCTTTTAAAAAATCGGTAAAAAATATAGCTTATAAATACCGAAAAATGTTTCAAATAATTGTAATCCACACTAATTTACGCTTCTAAATAATATATTAGAAACACCCTCTGATTAAATTTAACAAAATTACAAACTAAACATGTATTGTCAAAAGTTACTTGAAAACAATGAAAAAATACTTTTCAAAATAAAACACACATGTTTGTTGTCACGGCAAAAACCACATGGCCGATATTAATTGATTTTAGTTGTGTATCGCTGAGTGTTGCAATTACAGACATTCAATAAATACTTTACGAAATATGAGGGTGGTACAATTTACCCGGCGGTACAAAATACCAAACTCTCCCCTATAGGTTTTTGAACATTTTAAAATGCATTTTTTTTCTTCCACCGCAACTTCAGGGTTGTGTATGGGTATCCAACTGGCCACAGAAAGGACAAACACTTTTCGACTGGTTGTGT